GGGGCGAAGGAGGTCGAAAGTCGCGTGCGAGCAGGGGCAGGGGCGTATGTGGTCGCTTGCACCGTGCCCAGTCGACCGGAAATTGGCGTTCGCAGGAAACGAATCGCAGCGCTATGCAATTTGCACCACTATCATCCTTGCCAAATGTATCTTCATTTCGATAGTTTTTCACGGATTTTAGCCGTGGGGCCGTTCGAAAATGACGTCATGGCCAAAAACAGGGGGGATATTTTTCACGGCTTAAAGCCGTTGGACCGTCCAAAAATGACGTCATGGCCAAAAACAGGGGGATCAAAGGGGTACCTTGAGGGGGGTAGCTGTTCACGGTTTTCAGCTGGGGGACCGTCTAAAAATGACGTCATGGCCAAAAACAGGGGGGATAGTATTTCACGTTTTATTTATTCACGGCTTAAAGCCATGGGACCGTCCAAAAATGACGTCATGGCCAAAAACAGGGGGATCAAGGGGGTACCTTGAGGGGGGTAGCTGTTCACGGTTTTCAGCTGGGGGACCGTCTAAAAATGACGTCATGGCCATAGGCAGGGGGTTCGAGGGGGTACCCGTCATAACCCGACCATGGAGGAGGCCGTCCGACTGAACCTGGCACCAGGCTGAACTCAGTGCGAGGCGCCTATCGTTAACAAAGTCCGATGGAAAACAGTCCAGTGCGCTAATTTGTCGTAGCTTTGTTTGGAGGGGGAGTTGACCTAAGTTTAATCTAATTTTTAGAGAGGGGGGCATTATAAAAAAAAATAATAGCCTATTATCATTAAGTGGCAGCAAAAATGTCCAAAGTTTTGGCTCTGATCGAATCCCTGATATTTTGAAAATATTAGATTGATTGTATCAAACCTGCGCTAATCCTAATTTTTTTGAAAGAACTTATGTTGAAGCCAAATAATTCGACGGTAAAACTACCAGACCACGTACCTTCTTTGCGGTGATTTAGTTTGAAGAATAAACCAGAAAACAACTTTCTTCGCTATTTTATCAGCAATGTTAAATCTACACACGACTAAAAGTATGCAATTTCCAAACAACTGAAAATGGAAATCATAAAAGTATTATGCAGTATAATAGGATTCCTGAACATTGAATATGAATGGATATTAAATGTTTTGTCAATATTGTGAGGTATATGCCTTGCCTTTACAATGAGCAAGCAATTATTGCGATTTTGAAAGAGCAAGGTTAAAAGAATATGCACATCTAGCTTTGTAAATTTTAAAATATTATTAAGTCCGCGCGTTTTTTTATCTGCCGGACACAAAAATTTCTCCAAATAATCTTAATGTTAGATGAGATGTAATAATAAACTCGTTTGGAAAATATCAGTATACCTGAGAACACATCACATGACGTTCCCTCTGTCATACATAGGTACTCAAGAAGTATAATTTTGAAAAACCCGTATTTCCCGGTAGCTCCCTTAGTCATCATGTGGATTTCCCTGTTTTTGGTATTTATTTCCAAGCCGTGCGTGCAATTAAACAGGTCAGAATGTCATCCTGCATTGCTTAGCTGATTTAAAACAAAATTCTTGTTTTTTATGATTTTTTTCTCATATGTGTAAAGAAATAAATCGGCGGGTTTTCCAACCAACCAGGATTGCCGTAAGGAATCTACGCGTGCATGTTAAAAGAAAGAAAGAATCCAACGAAGCTTATAAATTGCGGAAAAGCAGAGAGCGCTAAAACCGATGAGCGAACACGTGTGCCAGGTCATTAATAGTGCGCAATTGAATTACTTGAGGCATTAAACGGAGGGTATTTCTAGGACATTTGATATCTGTTCTTCATGACGCCGCTAGAAGAGTTTTAAATATAGTGTGATTTACATGAGAGTATTCTCGATGTTTACTAAAGCTCTGAGAGAGATTTGAAATGATGAAACTGCGAACAAAATTACACCATACAAAGGTGGGAAAATTTAAGAATCTGACCTCTTGGAATAATTTTTTATGGCTATTATATGCAAAACAACAGATCTGTTAGCAAAGTTTGCTAGAGTGAAAAATTAGTTAATCCTTTAAACAGTGACCTCCAAATTACGATGACCACACGAGAAGTTCTGAAAATCAATATAAAAATCACCCAGGTACCTATATCCGAATTTTCAATTCAAAATATCCGATTCTGAAAAATATAACCCATGCTTTTATTATTACGCAATAGTGCTTACATTTTTCTATTTAAACAATATAAATTGTCTTTTTTTTGTGCCATAGTTCGTTCAAGACATATAATAGGTCGATATTTTCACCATGAAGAGATGATATTCTCTAGATGAGCTCGATCTCTTAAAATATTCGAATTAAGAACCAGAAAGTTTCTTCTAGCAGTTGGTTGCCTCCTAATATACCAAATACCCTTCCCTTGTGCTGTCAAATTAAGCGCTAGGGAGATATGAATGAGGAAAGCTTCCAGCCGTGTCTTATTCTGTAAATGCAATATTTTGTTTTGGAGTCAGAACCGGAGGGCCAGATCGCTTTGGTGAGTTCAACATCCAATTTCATAACAGTGGATCGGAAGAGAAATCAAACTCACAATCGGAACAGGGAGCCTGATATCGGCTTTGCGACTAGCTGCAGGTCACCTTTGAAACGAAATTGATTTTGCCACGATCCCTGGTGGATGTTATTAACTTTCTGTTTGTCTCGCTGTTTTGGCAGGGATCCCGGAGCTGAACGTGCCGCCGATCGACCCCCTGTTTTTGCCGGAAATTGTTGTGGCCGGCAGCGTGGAAAAGGGTCGCGGACAGCCTTTGAGAGCCGTCGCCACGAACGTCAAAGTCCTCGGCGCCGGCGACTACAAAGTCCAAAAATTAGTGTGAGTATTTACAATCGATATGATAACATGTTCCAAGTTCGGTATACAATTTGCGGTGCATTCAGGGGAAAAGAATTACGCTCGCTGGGAAACAAAGAGTTTGCTTCCATGACGACTGTATGATGTGATCTTTGCAAATGCGATTTTGCATTGTCTCTTCCGATGTCATGCTCCGCAAAAGTTTTCAATGTTGCACATACTGCGGAGAAAAACATACCTGATGCAGAACAATCTCGATTCATTGCTTTCCCTCGTTCGAGAGAGAACTTTTAATAAGTTTCAAAACTCTTGCATACAATTTTGATAATACTATTCGCAAAAAAACTGTTCTTCCAGTTTGATAACGACTGGCGTAGATCTCGTCGTAAATTTGACGCAGTCATACAAGCGTCCTTTTCAAATATTTTCATCAGCTCTCAGAATTGTTTAACTCGGAGCTTCACATAAAAAATAAGGATGGGGTTTCTTTCACTTAATTTGAAAGGCTTGGAGGACAAGGTGCACAAGTGCAGTTTTTGCTATTTTGAGAAATACGTGTTTAAAGTTCCGAAATTACATGGATCCTTACAGCGGAAAGAAAGTTTAAACTGACTTTTTGATGCTTATGAATTGGAATTCGAGAGCGAAAATTTCACAGAATATGCATTAAGACGATTGTGAGCAGAACAGCAAGATGCACAACCTTTCTTTTTAAAATACTCTTGCTTCCAACTCCTACTGTCTTTCAAAACGTTCCTTGAACTGGATAATAATTTTCACCATAAATTCAAATTTTTTCATGTAAGAAATGAGCATGTGTAATATCAAGACTCATTTTACTGTGCTAAAGGAGGCGCCTTACGAGTCTTCGAAAGTTGCAGAGTTTCCTTTGAAAATAAACGCAATTTCTGGTAAACTTCTATATGTGTCTCTTCCGATTTTGCCGACAATGGGCCTGTTGCAAACTTTTGCTAGAGCAAAACTAAGAGTTGTTTCTTATAGATAATGCCTCAAAAATCACGATGAGCGCATCGGCAAACTCTGAAATGCACTCATAACTTCACAATCTGCGTAAGAAAGTTGCGGTTTTTTGAGCTTCCCGCTTCAAAAACGATACTACGGCACAGGTGAACATTTTGTAAGAGGAGTCGTTACATCGTCGGCAATAATCATCATAGCCGACGCCAATCCACCAAAACACGTTTGATGGGACGAGATAACACCTGAACTGGATTAGACCAGATAACAATCGGTGTGTTAACGTTCATATTTTCCACGCCCGAATTGATTGACCTTGAACTCTCCTTGAATTACGCGCGGAACTGCGTGCAAGCGTCGGCCATGATGAATATCGCCGACGATGGAGCGACTCCTCTAACAAAATGTTCACCTATGCCGTAGTATCGTTTTTGAAGCGGGAAGCTTAAAAAAACGCAAATTTCTTACGCAGATTGTGAAGTTATGAGTGCATTTCAGACTTTGCCGATGCGCTCATCGTGATTTTTGAGGCATTATCTACAAGAATCAACTCTTATTTTTGCTCTAGCAAAAGTTTGCAACAGGCCCATTGTATTCTTAGTTTAAGCCAAGGTATTGGAAAACTTTGAAGAAAAATATTTATGACCATCGTTAAAAATAAATATTTTATCAGGAGAAAATTGGTAAAATTCGAAGTGCTTGCTAGCACGTATCATCATTAAGATCAGCATTTTATTAGTAAAATGTTTTCTCGTCAGATCGAATTGTCAATTCAGCCGCTACTCGAGGAGCAAACCCTCTACGCCAAAAAATTGATTTTTTTTTCACCAAGTTCGGTCCTTCTACTTCTTCCTCCAACCACACTTGAATCACAGAATATTGTCGTCTAAAGTCCCGAACACTGTTTCTCGTTTGCGGTGTTTCAAAATCTCTGCTCCTAATTAATCTTTTTCGAGTGAGCTCGACTCAGCATGATGGCTCGACATTTTCACAGAATATTATACATACAGAGAAGAAGAATCACCAGAGGCGGATCCAGCAGTTTGGCAACACCGAATTTCCTCCATTTAAACTAATGCTAAATAATCGATTCTTGTCGGAGTACCTAGCCCATCTAAGAATCGATACATTTCCAAAGGATTAAATGGAGGAAATTCGGTGTTGCCAAATTGCTGGATCCGACAATGAGAATCACGGAAGGTTTCAAGAGTTGACGGAAAGTACCTAGTTTTCCATTTAAAGAACAAAGTCTGACAGGTAGTCTGCAACGTTGCAAACAGAGATACATGGTTTGAGAATCTCGCTGTAGATTTATTTTAACACAGATCATCATAATCATTGAAACGGTGTATGACGTCACATTAGAAACGAGTTCTAACCGCGGATCTATGAGATGCATTCAAACAAAATGCGGAAATTCCGTCACAGGAGGAACTTCCGTCAGTTTCCAACCTGTCCAAATCAAACCGCAAAATCTATTTCCATGAGGCGTTCAGCAGACCCGTCAAAATAATTGAGGCCAAACCAGGAACTTGAGACAGTGGCGCGCCGCAAAAAATGAGAGCAGTGACCCATGCACAAAGTGTCTGAAGTCGATCCGACCTTGAATCCAAGAGACGCTTTGTCTATGGAAGCTTTTAAAAGCTTCGTCACTTGCTACGTGTACAAGGAGACTTCAGTGACAAAACATAATTATTCAGAGGCAGCTTCACGATGCGACTCATCTTCCTAAAATACATTATTGCCGGATCACGTCATTAATATAGCGAGCATACTGAACTCAAGTAGCATTTTTTAAGGAAAAGTCCGAATGTTTTGAAATTAGATTGCGATTTTTTACGATTTTTGTCGAGAAAATCGCTAGCACCCCGAACATCTGAGAAATTATGCTCGATCTTGTCGCAAATTTATCTCCATACTAAATTGTGCTCAATTCAAGAGGAATTTTATCTCAAATTATCAAAATTTTTGTTTAATAATATTGCGATAAAGCGCCATCCATGGAATTGCAATTTTCGTGGAAATTTATGTGATAAAATCGCAATTTTTTATCTGATAATATTGCAATAAATCGACGCAGATGAAATCGCGATACATTCTCCGATCAAATCGAAACTTACCGCGATCACTGCTCCTTGAGAAGGTGGTGGCAATTGCTTTTTTCCCATTAAAATCTTTCTTACACCCTAGTGCGCTGAGTTACACCGTCTAAAGTTTGCAATACTAATAGATGTATCCAAAGGGGTAGGAAATAGTCGAATAGATTGTGAAAAAGCATCAATGGAATTACGGGTGAATGGCACGAATACGTATACAGTACAACCCTTCGCAACATTTAGAAAAAAAGGATGAAATGAAGGGACAGGCTCCCTTAATAGCCGAAATACAGACAAGACTCCAAGGTTACGTTGAGCGATCTGTCTCATGAATTTGGAATGAATCTGGGACTGCCTTAAAAGTTCCATTATTAGGTTACGAGTAACTCGTTGCGATTCAATCAATTCATCGGATCTCATCAAGTATTCAGGGTAACTAATCGGAAAAGCATCCCTCTGCGATGAGAATTTCAGTCGACTTTTTTCAATTCTACTCAATTTAACGTAAAGCATCTATAATATCGTTTCAAGCACTCTTTATAAGATTCATCGAAAAAAAGAAGAAAAAAAGAAATCAGCCCCCCCCCTCCAAGTAACTTTTGAACGGTTAGAGATAGAAAAACGAAACTTTGGAAATGTTTCTATTTCAAAGGTGATCATCTTCTGGGGGGGTTACAATTTTTCCCTCTCTTAGTGGGGCGGGGGGGGGGACTTTTTTTTTCAAATGGTAACCCCTACTTTGTGATAAGTCATTGAAAAAAAAATTAAAAACTAAGAATTTTGAATTTGTGAAACACAAAAACGTACAACAACTAACGGTTGTTGCATTATTTCCATGGGTTTATCACACCGCTAGACCTCGCATAACTTACAGCGCTCTCCCACAGAATTGGAAAAAAAAACTAAAATCATCAGGTTGCGTATTTTATACTGAAGAATACAGCAAAAGTCGCTGACTCATTTTTGTCAAAATTGTCTGTCTCGGCACTGTTGTGCCACAGTCCTTGCTATGTACACATGAGTCTACTCTTTTTGGAATTCTAAAATATTAGGCAGCGTGGAAAGAACTAGCCTATGCTCTACAGTGTAGAGCATAGGCATAGTAGTCTTCACTCAAGATAACTGAAGTCTCATATAATACATATTGGATAATCAATCTTGGGGATAAATCGTGAGCGTTTTACCAAGAGCATTTTTACAAGAATTTATGCATTATGACCAGATTGACTCTGAAAAATAGACGACATGCTTTAACAGAAGAAGATTGCTAATTTAGTTTATTTTTTGTTTCTAGGGTGGATCTCAAGAAAACAATTTATTATGTAAATATGACCTTCCCCTTTTTGAAAATCGAGGCGAATTACGACATGGATGCCAAAATCCTCAACATTCCCTTGAAAGGCAGAGGGCCTTTGAAAGCAAATGCAAGTAAGTTCTGCCTCTTTTTTCTCAACATTTAATCTTTATTATTATTCTATTTGCTTCAAGGCATCGATGAGTCCCTATAAAGCCCCAGTTTAAATGTCGATATGAGCCTTACTGCACTAAGCGGATGCACCATTCCGTTAATTGAGCGTGCAGCATCTGCCCTAATAAACGGGTGAAACAGGGATTCTTGTATGGGCCGCTAATATACTGGAATTTTAAACAGATTCCATCAGTATGCAGTGGCGTGGCTTGAATTGCGATGTACCGATTGTTATACCATTTAAACCTATGGTAAAGAATCGATTATTAAGGTGTTCGCTGCGAACGCCCTGTTTACCGATCCTTTTTCATAGGTTTAAATGACATGACAATCGATATATCGCAAGGCACGCCACGCCACTGTCAGTATGGACCGGGTTTTTTGGGTGCTCGATCAGATTTTGGAATGTGGCAAGTTGCCCAGGTTGTTGAAGTGTACTTGCAGGTGTAACGAGGCGAGAAACTCGATTCTCTCTCATGCACTCCGTTGGTATATTGAAAACAAGTTCTTTATCGCTACATGTGCCGTAAGCACTTTGTTAAGCAACTTCAGTATGATTTGCTACATTGGAAGAGATCTGTACAACTTTTTATGTGAACTGAAACTGAGTTTTAGAGGAAAAAACTCTGCGCACGTTATGAGTCGTTACAGATTTGCGTGTGTTTAACAGGCATAACGACGCAAGACGCAACTGCTACTATGTAGAATAGTGGCGTGGCGTGAATTGCGATGTATCGATTGTTTAGCCATTTAAACCTGTGGCAAAGAATCGATTATTAAGGTTTTCGCTACGAACACCCTGTTTATAGATCCTTTTCAATAGGTTTAAATGTTATAACAATCGATATATTGCAAAGCGCGCCACGCCACCGATGTAAAATGAATAAGGCTTCACTTCGTAATCATTCTGATTTTAATTTTTTGGTGATGGTGGAAATTTCGAGACAAAAACTCAATTTTAAACGATAATTTAACAGTCATAGGAATTTGGGAGTAGACTTACTATAGACCTTTTAGTTTCAATCTACTCCAACTTCGCAATTTATCTGGTCTGTTAGGTTATTTCTAGTGCGAGCCAAAAAAACCGATCTTCATTCAATCATATTTTTTCCAGCAAATGTTCGAGCTAACATTGTGCTTCATGGCGCAAAAGTAAAAATTGAGGGAACAACCCATATCCAGTTCCACTCTATGGAAACAGACTTGCGCATAGGAGACTACAAAATAAGGCTCTTTAACTTATTCAATGGAGATCCTACGCTCAGTAAGTATTCAACCCTTTTTAAAAACTGTGAAATGGTAATTTCTTTGTTTCTGCGTATCCTTCCTGCTCCGTTTATCACTTGCTCTTTCAAAGCACAAATCCCACATACTGAAGAATTAAAAGTGGAAGAATGCTGAATTGGTTAAGCAAAAATTCAGGAAAACCTGGGGACTTGTATATAATCTTCCTCCGGGAGATGAGTTGAACAATCAATTAATTTTTTATATCCGTCTCTTTTTTCGCCTCATTTCATGTACGTCGCTCGTTTGGCTGCATGTCGATGGTGAAAGTCAAAAACGCGTAGTTTAATTGAGATTGTTCAAAATCTCCCTTTGTATTTTATTTAATCGAAGGAAAAAATTGACGTCCCTATTCAAAGTTCGCTCGCGGTAGAGGTTTATCACTACAAATTTCAATAAATAATAATTTTTATTTTTCCTCATAAAAATTATTTGTGAAATAAATCTTAAGAGTCGGAAATCAGGATATTTACAATAGAGAATTTGCAGGTGTTTTAAATTTTGTGAATTTCATCTCTAAAATGATACCACTAGGAAAAGTGAATACGAGCTAGGATATCCTTGGTTTCTCAATTGGACAATCATTGGAGAAAATCTGACAACCTAATCTGCCAAAATACTTGTGTTTGAATGGAAAATGCCGCCAGATGGCGTCATAAAGCGGCACATTTTCTCACTTTTAAATATATTTTTCTCCTATTTTTCCCATGTCAGAATCAAAATATGAAAAACACTCTGAACTCAGCTCATTTAGCACTCAAAGATAACATTTTTGTCTGCAAAAACTCCATCATTTCATCACTCTTGTGTAGGTCATTAAACTGGTCAACCTAGTCTTAATTGCAGCAACGAAACTTATGTGAGGAATGTAGGGACCTAGAGTAGTACTTAAGTTAGCTATGGATAAATAGGGCATGTAAAAACTTTACAACGCTGTATAGTTATAAAGGGCAGATATGCTATTAGCTCAGTGCTTTTGTTCTGTAGTGCATATTCGTGTACACTTCCAAAGAACTGCGTGCTATATATTTCAAGTTATTTTCGTCTCATGAGATTCTTAGACATTTATTTCATTCACGACACTTGACGAAACTAATTTCATTTATTCAAGGGGCTTCAAACTAACAAGTATTGATTTTGATGTACTTATTATTCGTCCTGAATTGTTGAAGGAGCGTCGTAAATCGAGGTCATAAAGTTTTGGTTGCAAGCGCCAGCGCTGCATCATCTTCAGTTGAAATCTAATCGATGCATTCAAAAGCTTTTCATGGAAAAGTGCTGTGTAAGCTGATTCTTAATATCTCCTCAGTTGACTTTGTATCGCCAATGAAATATATCAACTATGCGATGTTGATAACAAATGCAGAATGTAATTCTTTTCGAACTGCAAAACAGCCGAAAAAAATACGCTTCCAAGAGAAGCCTCTTCAGTTATAATTTGCTAACAGAATAAGCAGGCTTGTTAGGCGTTAAGTGCTCCTGAAAGAAAATCTAAAAACTTCGGGAAAAGAAAATGCACTCGGAAAAGTTTTCACAAGTCTGTTGAGAAATCATGTCCTTTCACCTGCTGGCTTACGACTTTCATGTTGAGACGAGCTTCCACTGGAGTTTGCAAAAGAAGTTCATGGACGGCTTTTGAATTTAATTTTTGAAAAGCTCTCATCTTTAATGTAAATTTAGAACTGGTGCAAAATATGAAAGATATTCACCAAAATGAGCAAAATTACTTGCTTGCAGATCTGTTCACTTCGTATTCACATTTACACCTGCCTTACTTATTGTTAACATCCTCCGGCTATTTCCGAGCAATACAAGTTGGAAATGAAAAATTTGTAATACGAAATACTCCGCTAGATTAGCAAAATTATCGAAGAAGAAACAGAGGATGCCAACAAGGTCAATCGATCGTGCAGATAGTGTCACTTTCTTTCATCTTAAACATTTCATTCTGCAAAAATGATTTTTTCTTTTTGCGTTAATTGAATTGTATTCGAACATTGAGCCTCGTTATTTTGTTCTTTAGTAGCTCAATTGGTATTATTAATTCAGTAATTATTCTGAGTTAAAGGGCAGTAAATAATTTGAAAAAATAAGTATTTTTTACTATAAAACGTATTATATGATATTGATGAAACCGAACTCCGGAAATCGTTGTTGAATCCATGTGGTTTGAAGAAAAATTTCAAATTCATGTTGACCCTATTTTTCCAACATTTTTTCGTTTTGACTGAGCTCTGTCCAATAAATGAAGAAAAATGTTGCTGCATACTGTGCTGCAGGTACTATTCCTCTTAGTAATGCACGTCGGTGGAATTAGATTCGTTTGATTCCATTTTACATTAAATATTATTGAAAATAAATATAACATGGTTCTAATCTTCCACCCTTACCTCTCTTTTTTTCAGACAATGCAATCAACGCAGCTATCAACGAAAACAAACAAGAGTTCATGAAAACATTGAAACCACTCGCTGAAGATACCGTTGCGAAGTATATTCTTGAAAACCTGAATAAGATCTTCAGTAAATTCACCTTTGAAGAGTTTTTCCCCAAATAATTTTACCAGTGATGTCATTTTTTAAACCTTAGGGTTTAGTAGTTACCACCAATACTCTCTTAAGAAAAATGGACTACCTCACGACGATGAAAAAATTCGTCAAACAACTTAGTTCTTATGGTGATCAAATGTATCGCAAATATTGAGTCGAAACCACAAGAACAGCTTAAAAATTTCATGGTTTAACTCGCGCTAAACTGCATCGAAGACCTGAGACTGAAATTTTGTTGCAAGATGAACTTTTCGATATTGTGATACTTGCCCATGCACATGGCTCGATTAAAAGGTCACTTGAATGACTTAAGAGCTTTTTGGAAAGGAAATTAGAAAAGAAGAAAAATCAATTTACAGAATTCTCAGGTTACCTTCTTAATCATAAGACAAGGTGTATGCATAAAAAAAGAAAATCATGTACACAGCTAGTTGAGTCGCCTTCAATTAAAGTAGACGCAATGCCACATACCTCAACGTATTTAACGCGTTCTTTTACCAGTCATTATAAGATTTTAACGTAAGGAAGACGTCCTTTGACAAAGATTTAGTGTATTCAAAGAACCGCTAGTGCGGCCTAGTATTAAACAAGGGGTTGTGATTTTTTCTTCTTTTTTGCACACACCCAACATTATTTTTTTTTTAAATTTCCCATCAGACTAGAAATTAGATCGTTCTTGTTATGTTAAAAAGACGTAAAGATAAACGTTAGATCATATGATTGCTGGACGATAATTTTTTTTCATTATTTTACGGGTGATATTAGAAATGAACAGAAATGAATTAGAAATATGCATAATTGTTTTAAGAAAAAAAAAAGGAAAGAAAAATTATTCTTAAACGCCTAGCTGAAAGTTTTCAGACCTTAAAACACTTCCAGTAATAGATAAATGAAAAATTGCTGTATTTAAATAATTTTCGCTGTAAAGTAAAAAATGGTCACGTATATAAAATGATTATCAGTCTAATTTGGATGAAAAAGTGGCTGAGCTTTTCTTTTTCCTATGAGGTGTGAAATTGAGATTTTTTTAGATACTTTTCTGTCTTTTTGCGTGTGTCTTGCAAACGTTCCTGAAATAAACACGGACATTACGTTGTGCCACTTGACATATGAGATGTGATTGTGATTGTATGATCTTCAACTCTGTCGTTTTTTAACTAGGTTCATAAAACTGTTTTTTACCCAATATTTGCACGTTTCTTATTCTATCCAAGTTTGACCTAGTTTTGGGATTTTATTACATTTGCGCTAAACCTATCGCATTAAATAACAGTATGAAAAAACATTTTGCTTGTTGGATTTTAAATTATCAGAGGATAAGAATCGGAAACTCTAAAAGATATCGCAACAACAGCAACTGTTTTTTTTTTAAAAACAATTTTAATGACTTTTGGGACCATTTACCACCCTCACCCTCGTAGTTTTCCCTAAGAAATAATTTAAAAATGATCCAGTCGTCAAATTTTGCCTACCAAAAATTTAAAATCCAAGAAAAATGCAGGCAACCGGAAAAAGAGGATTATTTGCAATCGACTCCAAGCGGTTTTACAATTATTTTTTACCATATTTTTTCATCAATGGATTACATTTTTAAAATTTATTTTTAAATTTCAACTTCACGTTAAAGGGACTTTTCTCGCTAAATTCGGTCCGTCCGTAGTTACACCACCGGCAAATTTGGCAACCGAAAACACGAGTTGGGCGGAGTAATGCAAGCGTAAATTATATTTGCAAAAACTTCCCTTCCCGTCTCAAGATCCTTCCAGGACAATACCAACACCAGCTTTGTCTTGGAAATTAATGAGTGTTTAAGTTCACAATCCAATATCCCGCCCCTTTTATCTCCCCACAATCACTTAATTTAATTTATTGTTACTCAGCGCGGTGACAAAATTTATCTTATGCATTTTCGTGAACTCTGAGTTCCAATCCAGGCGAATACTTTTCAAAAAGCGTCATCCTGGAATTTCCGTCATAATATCTTATCGATAATGAGCCATTATATTAAGAAAAAACGAATCTCTGAATTAAACCCCAACTTGTTTGAATTGTTTCAACATTCCTTCTCTACCTTATGAAGTTGACCTCTCAAGAGCAACAGCCAAAGAACGGAATAGCGGAATTGGGGGGACTCGAGCCTTTTATATCTCAACTCGTAAAAAACATACTGAAAATTGAGATATTTTCCTTCTGCAAAATCCAATAATTGTTCTTCATGTTGCTTCTTGAGCCTTGATCTGAGGGAGAGTATTGACTGTAGTTTTTCAACACTTATAATGTTTGGAAAAAAATGTTGAAGAACTTTTAAAAAAATTGTGGTATTTAAAAGACTTTTTAACCGTACTTGGATGACCAAGCAGCATCAAATTGACCAGGCTTGCAAAAAACACGTGGCCCACGGGTTGTGTGGGGTCCCTACATACGAAATTTAGATGAATATCCACCAATATATCCTGAAAAAAAAAATCGGGCAACTAAATTAAAAAACAGAAGAAAATCGAGTTTCAACCAAATCAAAGATAGAAGAGACGTATTCAGGTCTCGTCATTTAACTTCCCCACAAACGGTGCGACCCCTCATTGGCAGCATAGAGCGGAGCAGAGCATTGCGAGTTCAGTTCATGCACTTCGCGCCTCGCGCCAAGGCGCCTTCAATTTTGCAGACGCAATACGGGCATCCATCGAGTACGAATAGTTGTATCTCTGCGCCGTCATCAATGCTCATCAATTCCCTTGCTCTATTTCCGTGTTACGGTGATTCAGTTTGTCTTATTTGTAGTGGTGCTTCAAGGGCTACGTGAGCAACACAACTGAAGCCGGACGTAATTGGGCCTCGTTTTTACAACTTTTCTCCCGAACCTGCACCTCATTCTAAAACCAATGTAATTAAGCACTGGTCAATTGACCTGACTTGGGTCTTCGCGTAGTAAAAATGTCATGGGCATCAGAGGGTTGAGTCAATTTCACCAAGAGTTAAATCGTACTTTAAAGAGTAGCCAAAAGAGGTCTCCTTGAACAAAATTTTAGGATTTTTTTTGTTGAGTTTTTGAAAAGTACCTATTTATTAATGATGTTTGCTACTACACGGAAAAAATTAAATTGCTGATTTAACAATTCAATTGCTAAAAAAAGTGACTGCAATGTTTCAATGTAGATTTATATGTACAACAAAAAAATGCTACTTTAACCACCCCCGTGGTTAAATTAGCTTACTATAGTGCTTAAAGTAGCATTTTTTCCCGTAAAATCTAAATTGAAATATTGCAGTCACTTTTTTTTAGCAATTGAATTGTTAAATCAGGAGTTTAATTTTTCCCGCGTAGGGTAACATCGAAGAAAAGTACCAGGCAGGCCTCCTGGCGGCTCTCAGTTTGAAACACAGTTGTCACACAGTTTGTCTCACAGTTTTGAATGTCAGTAAGACATCATTGGAAAAGCTGGGAAGCCAAGCCGAGCAAGCTGGTCAAAAGTCGTCCAATTATGGGAAATAACTGACAAAAAGACGAGATCGAGTGCCCTCGTGTGTGAGCACGGCTTAACTTACGAACACACAAGCGTTGCCGCTCTTCGTACATATCCACGTGAAAAATATAGTAAAAAGTGGCCTCTAAAAAATAACATATTGTGGCAACGGCCAAATTTATGCGGAAGTTGAGAATCGAAACAAGCGATGACCCGTTGGATTGCACTAAGTGCAAACTTTTACTATTGTGTCATCCGACCGGAAAGTTGAATCCTTCGTGGTTATGACGTCCGCTCAACCTATCATTCTCAGAGGATAACTATGCAAAGTTCCTCGCTTCGTTCCGACCTCTGTGAAATTCGAACAGTTCCATCCCTCAGCTTTTTCTCAGGAATCCTCCGTCTGTTCGGTTTATGCTGTCTGTTCGAATTTCGCAGAGGGACTAATTCGATTACGCAGTTTGAAAGCTCTCAAGACGATTTCCGTTGATCTCGTCCAGTTGATATACTTTTACGTCGAGGTAAAAGTCTGGATTTGTTGACGAGGAGTCAAGGACTTAATAGTATTTCGTCATTGAGGAGAAAGAGAATGAAAAGATGGAGAGAGGAAAGTAGGAGGAAGAGAAGAAGAAAAAAAGAAAAAAAAGAAAAGCAGGAAAGGAAAAGTTGGTAAACAAAAACTCAGATTTTCCTTTGTTGACAAAGAGTCAAAGAATTAATAATATTACGTCAATGAGAAGAAAGAGAATGAGAAGATGGAGAGAGGAAAGTAGGAGGAAGAGAAGAAGAAAAAAAGAAAAAAAAGAAAAGCAGAAAAGGAAAAGTTGGTAAACAAAAACTCAGATTTTCCTCGTATTTGTCAACAGGACGCACTGTGGATCAAGTCAATCAGAGAGGTCGGACATGACATTTTTAACTAAAAATGCATATTTCAATGTTTAATTCGTCACTTTTTAAATTTTAAGGGGTGTTCCTGAGTGAGAATTTCACGCGGAAACCAACGGAACCACTTTTAAAACCTCAAAGTTTTGTATGAACTATCAGTGGCGTGGCATGCTTTGCGATAAATCGATTGTTCTGCCATTTAAACCCACGGAAAAGGATCGATAAGCAGGGTGTTCGCACCGAACGCCTAAATAATCGATTCTTTACCATAGCTTCAAATGGGGAAGATATGGATATAGTCGATCATTCACGCTTCGCCTCTGTGACTTGTAAGCTTTTAAAGTTTCAAATTTTGTCTGACCCCTCCCATTGACTCGATCCTCTGTGTTACGGTGACAATGATGACATGATGCAGACATAATGATGAATTATACCATAACTTATTGACATTGACGATGTATGAATTAATGCCATTGGCGGATCCAGCAATTTGACAACACCGGATTTCCCCCATTTAAACCTTTGGAAATAAATCGATTCTTGGAGGGGCCAGGTGCTCCGACAAGAATCGATTATTTAGCATAGGTTTAAATGGGGGAAATTCGGTGTTGCCAAATTGCTGGATCAGCCTCTGATTAATTCAGCGATTTTGTTAGGAATATGTGCTCCTCAACGGCGTCATAATCAGAGAAAAATGAGCATAATCGATTCTTTCATTTTTCATGACTTTCTTTTTGGTTGTTGCGCGAGTTTCATGCCCGTGGAGATGCGGTGGTAATTATAATTATGCGGGTTTAGAGTAAAACAGGGGGAGGATGTCATCAAATGAAGGGAGGCTTGTGGAGGGTCTTTGAACATGAATTTCTGTCCATTTTCTGCCGTCAAAAGAGCGCACAATTCAGGATTCGATGAATAATATTATCTACCTGAACTTCCCCCTCCTCCCGAGTCCTGTCGGAAAGTAATTTAATCAATTATCTATTAGCATTTTCTTTCATTTTCATCTTGTATTTTTCATTTTCCCCTTGTCTCACTTTTATGTAGCCGCATTTTTCAACGAAATATTTTTCCTGGCTAAATCAACAGCTTGAGCCTCACTCAACTCAATGTTAGATTAAACCGCAGCGTATTGTCGAAACGTTCGGGGTGTTGGTTGAGAGCTTCGGTCCGTCCAGATATCGGAATTCAGTTCATCAAATCGATTAGGTATTTGGTTGAACGTATGCACGTACGTGGAAGAGGTCAACGTATGACAGATTCCGTTTGTGGATCCACCTTTTTTCTTGCTTAGATACATGTCATTAATTCCAAAACGCGAATGAGATTTACTAATCTGACAAGCTGGGGGACTTTTTATATAAGATATTTATAAACTAGTAAGGGTGGTAGAATGTTGTCATGCTATGCCAATCACCCCCTAGAGATATTTTCTCTATTTCTAAAATTTATGGTCCCATTTCGTAATTCTGGGACCATTTGTCTCCTACATTAACGACTCTTCTTAATGGGTTACTAGAAAAGGCATGGCTTATTAAGCAGTACATAACATCTACATATTTTTCTGACCAGACCAAAAGACTTCTCATCTGAGGAGCTTTCGTGGTCAAACAGGACGCGCTTGTTGCATCATTCATTTTTGAAGGGGATTATTGCGTAGGGAAAATCTTAGGAGACGCTTCAAGAAAGTTTCCGCTGACTTCGGAGTCGTGCGGGTTGCATCAATAATTTTGGAAGGCGTTCCTGGTGCCTCTCATAGGCATACCTACCGTGTATGGAAGAAAATGATAACTCGATTTTCTTCTTCTTCAAGGTAAAAATTTTAGCTCATTTTCAGAAGACAACGTGAATTTCAATCAAACTTGCCCGCCCCTCAAGGAGTCATTTCATGTACTTTGGAGGCACATACCTACAAGGAAAAAATGGTACGGTGTGCGTTTTGGTCCAATGAGGGGCTGCCAGCCTGTCTGTGACCTCCTGGAGATTTTGTTACATAGGTAAATGTGTAAACGACTCAGAGTTCCGTTCTTTGGTCCGCTTGGGGTACTCTATGACAGAAATGGAAACTGTCGTAGTGTGATATTTTCTTTTTCCACTGAAGAGGGGAACAAAGAAGAGCTTTTGGAGGTTTTTGGCAAGAGGATGGTGACTTGCCCGGAGTCTCTTTACCCAAGTTTTTGGGTTTTTAACATCTACATTTCACGAGCAAAACGTATTACACGATGATAAGTCTGAAAATCAACTCCGTGACAAGATGAACGTTAAAAGTTACATTGGCGAAATGACAAAAATGCAACTGACGTTATTTGTATGATCTTACTTCAATTTGACCTGTGTTAAAAATTACATTTTATTACCGGGTTCAGGAGTTGATTTCCAAACTTTTCGTCGTGTGAATCATTTTCTGCGCAAGAATTTGAAAAAGAAGCACGTGACGTTTTCTTCTAGTTAAGTACGGTTGAGGCGTAGCACTGCTCGTTGATGAAGTAAGTAACATTATTTTTTCATGATGACAAATAAATGAAGATTTGATCTCTGCTTTAAGAGTTTTAATAATAAACAAAACAAAATATGTAAGAACATTTTTTACATTAAAACACGTGAGAAATATGTACAAGTTATTTACACTTTGTTCGCCTTTACTGGCATCACGATTGGGTTACACGTGGTATGTTATTCGTGCTCATTTCCCCGAATTAAAATAACACATCGTAATGGCGATATCCCATGCACACATATAGTATTGCGTATCAATCCGTAGCTTATCCAGTTAATGTACAACTTAAAAAATAACAAAAATACAAATTCTAGAAAAATTGTTTCGGAAGACCGTCCTCATGCCACGGCTAAAGGGACCAATGCTTTCTTTAAATGACCAGCAATCAAGTTAATGCAACTTTTTAAAGTTTTTGGCAACTGGTGTTTAACGAGTACAAAATCAGAGCTATGTAAGTTGTAAGTTCTTAAAGAAAGAACGCGCATCGAAGGACTTTGCACGAATCGAAGAAGAAAGGTGAAGGATGAGTACGGAGGTCAAATCTGATGATTTTTCGTCGGTCTACCTCTGAAAAGGTGGCTAAATGTCAAGATATTAAAATTGAACTGTTATTTTGGAGCTAAATACACAAAGGTACATTTTTTTATGGAGAAAAAAGAATTTCAATGCCTTTAGACGAGACTGATAGTGAAAAAAAAGAAATTATTTTTATACCAAATCGAAAAATAAATGCAAACGAGTAACATTCGAACGTTTTGAGCACGTTTTCTACTTACCAAAAAGTTAGAAAAACTGAGCATTTGAATGATTCTAATAGGCAGGTACTGATTGGTTTGAGTTTTCGATAATAATTAATTCACTTATGTGTGTTGTGTAAAATTAGTTGAAAACTCGTATTGCATCGCGTTTAGTTACTGCATTTATTTTCCTTCGTCAAGGTAAAGTTTAAATCAACTCCGAGACCTACTCTCGTTGACCTCGTTATCATGTCAATTTATAAAACTTCAGTTTCGCGAAGTTTCAATAAGCAAGAGAAATTTATTTGTTATCTGCATGTTGTTAAAAGTTAAAAGCGCGAGTTTCATTAATCACTGCAACAGAATCTGGGATCAAGGCACAGTCCTGCCAATCATTACGAAATATACACAGTCCTGTCCCCAGGGTAAATCGTTTCAGTCTCTGATGTAAACTCATTTCGTTCACCGTTGCCAGGTCTTAACAGTAAAACAGTGGCGTGGCGTGCTTTGCGATTTATCGATTGATCGGCCATTTAAAGCTATGGAAAAGGATCGATAGACAGGGTGTTCGCAGCGAGCACCTTAATAATCGATTCTTTACCATGAGTTTATATGGCATAAAAATCGATATATCGCAATTCACGCTACACCACTGCAGTAAAACTATCTTTTGTTCATGAGTAAACGCGGGTGGACACATTTATTGTCTGATGTGGCTTTTCACCCTTTTGATGGGGGAATGTAGTCAGAAAAACACCACTTTATCGAGGAATTATACGCAGCAATAGCGAGGCGTGAATGATCGACTATCGATATGTCCCTGTTTGAAGCTATAGTAAAAAATCGATTGTCAAGGTGTTCAATGCGAACACTCTGTATATCAATCCTTTACCATAGGTTTAAATGGCATAACAATCGATGTATCGCAAAGCACGCCACGCCACTGAAAAGCTGAATTCATCAGCAAGTGAGACTAATCGATTGACGCTGTTTGTTTTTTTTTCTTCATTTTTTCACTTTTATATCAAATTATTTTATAGTAAAATGCAAATTAAAAAAAGTTATATACAGCTTTTAAAGTTGTGTGAAGTCACTACTTCTGAACTATGAATGATGAAACTATGAAGTCGATTTTTGTAACTTCCGAGGAATCGTCAGAAAATGCTTTTCTGCCGGGCGAGGCTTTTTTGTTGCTTCCATACAAATACAAACATAACAAGCATCGGAAACTTGGGCCCTTAATCAAAGATGCACATTAAAACTCCATGAAGTTTTTCTTTGATCCGAAAGTTTCATAAAATTTCATAGAGTTTAAAGTGGTAGAATATAAAAACAGCAAAAAATGAAGGAAAATTCAACAATTTCAACATTAAGACTCGTTATGTCATCCCGCAAAAGACCTCAAAATGAAGTTTTCATTGTGCTTATGCGTTCAATGGTCTGCTACTATTGGCGTAGCTCTGAAGGGACCACGTTGGGTTTGACTTTCCTTAATATTTTAATAAATATTATCTGCCCCCTCCCTTTAAAAAAAGAATCTCCACAAAAGAAAATAGCCTTTGAACCGGTACATTACTTTATTTCATTGCTTAATGTGCGAGGAAAGTGGGGAAAAATTGAGTTGTTCTTTAAGCATCATTGGTAAAGTTGGTCCTTAAGTTTGCATACAGTTTAGATTGAATAATGCTCTGAAAATTTTTACTTAGTCAAAAATTTCCTGGAGGACCTCTCAATACCCCCCTCCTCATTGAAAATTAAGACCCACATCGATTAAAAACCTTCGGAGGCAACTTTCGGTTAGTAGTGCGGTAACAATGACCAAAAACTTTGGTTACCAGCACAAAAAACTTTAGTGTCCAATGCGTTGTTTTCCGGACGATTTCCTGATTTTTTCTTGAGATCAGAAGAAAAATCAGTTAAATTTTCAGTTACAAAAGCCCAAGATTATCTTAGTAAAATTTGCATGTGCGAGGGGATTATTGGCAATACTGAAATATAGTTATACGTTCTTTTCTTTGGGGGGGGGGGACAAAGAAAAATAAATCGAATTTTTTTCTCCTTGTGTTTTTCTTGTCAAGGTAATGCTGAGTCCACTAAAAACATAGAGTACATAGAGTCGTAATGTAAGTGGGAGAGCTGGCGCCATGTTCTGCTCGACGCGTTCCGAGCCCGGTGTGCGGGGTCACTTTTTCGATACATATTCGATCCAAAATGGCGGTGTGGAATATAGCCGGGTCCGCGTGTATCGCAAACAATCGACTATGTATCGAAAAAGGGATCCGGCGCCGCACAGGAATCTCGGAATTCGGGACCCGGAAAATGCTCCAAAGTGGCGCCAGCTCCTACACTTGCCATACGACTCTATGTACTTCATGACTAAAAAAGTTGGAAAATATTTCATTTAAAATCGGAGGATGTTATACAATTGGACGTATTTCTATCAAACGGAACTATGTGCATTGAGACATGGACCCTGTAATGCATATATTCTTACGGGTCTCAAGGCTCATGTTTCAATGCACATAGTTCCGTTTGATATAAATACGTCCAATTTGACATTTGGCTCTCTATAGACAGAGCTCCTCGGCCTCGGACTTACTGGAGTGTCGGACGATGCTGGAGTTGTTGGTTCGGTAGACGTAGAGGTCCTTCTCGCTGAGCTTGCTGCGGGGGGGCTCGCGGACGGAGACCTGGCGGTAGAGGCTCTTGCCGTTGGCGTAGTTGGCGGCGTGGAGGGAGCCGGGCGGCTGCCGCGTGGAGTAGCCGCGCCGCCAGTCGTAGCTCGAGTTGTTCACCGTCGTCATCGTCGTCGAGTGCATCGAGGAGCGCATGTTGTGCGTGAACGTCCGGTCCAGGTCCACCGAATCCCCGCTCATCAACCCCGATTGCGTCCACTTCCGCTTCCGGAACGGGAACCGCTGCTGGAACTCCCGCTTGAATTTTTCCTGAAATCGGGAAACACGTGATTTTCAAAAAGCTCCAAGGAAAAAACGAGTTTAGGGTAGGTAAAATTGGGTAACCGGGTAGGTAAAATTGCTTTGGCTTAAACCCCATAGGGGCAGACCCGGCGAGGGTAGAGCCCAAACCTACCTGCTTCAGGGTTCAGCCCTACTTGATAAGGGCTTGACCCTGTCCAGGTAGGGTTGGGCCCTACCCGCGCAGGACCTGCCCTGTGGGGTATGAGGTGCACTGAAAAGAAAAATCTCGGTGTATTTACTAAGAAAAGGGTAAAATTACCATGAATTCAGGGTTGTATTTGGTCCCAGTTTTTTTGTGGTAAAATTACCATTTATGGAATTGGTAATTTTACCGAGAAATTTCGGTGAAATTATTGAACTTTCTTGGTAATTTTACTGGACCTTGGTAAGAATGCCAATATTTTTGTGTACTGTGGTAGAATTACCGAGATAAATTGGCAAAATTACCAGGAATTGATTATCAATAAAAGTGGTATTCTTACCTGAAAAAAAACCAGTAAAAATACCGGTTTTTAGGTAAGCTTACCAGTCTGTCTTGGTAAAATTACCAATAATTGGTAAAAAAAAAGTGAGATGGTAAAGGTATCAACGGACCGTGGTAAAAACGCCGAGAATTTTTTTTTCAGTGTGAAGCAAATCTAGGGCCCAGCCCTAATCTCGTTTTTTCAGTTTCTAGTATTTTATAGTCTCGTACCCTAAAATTTTAATGAATGTGCGTGCTTTGAAAACCCCTGCACGGAGGAAAACCTTCGTGCCTGAGACCCCAAAGTTCATGTCATGTTTTTTTCCTTCTTTTTTCCTTTCTTTTTTTTTTTGGTGCGTGTGTCGCACAAAGTGGTTTTAAAATTTCCAAGGAAACACCCAGATCCGTAGAAACATTTGCCTAACAACTAAACTGCACAAGAACAGTTTGGAAGAAATTTGGAGGGGCTTAGTGAAGCTAAAAAAATTATTATTGAATAACACATTTCTTGTGTGGATCTCTCAAGTTTTCAAATCATGAGATCCATCTGCTAAAGTTCGGGTCATACATCTGAAGTCTTCGTCAACCAACACCGTAGAAGCTTTAACCCAAGTGTCAAAGTACTTCAGATGTGTGACTGTTATATCTTCTAATAGGCTACCGGCAGTTGCGCATTCTGAAGGTTTGCTTTCAAAGTTCAATTTTTAGAGGTTTCAGGTGCGTTGCGTCCGGTTTCAAATACCTCCTCAAAGTGACGAATATACAACTAAGTCAATCCTCCGCACCTCATCGATGTTTCTGTCGATGGCGGAACTTCGGGAGCAAAGTAACACGCTGACTCTATCTTGATGTAGCGCCTTCATGCAACTATTCGAGCTCAGTAGTTGACCGTGTTGCATACGCAAAAAGTGAAGGCGTTTTCACTTTGTCAAATGAGACTGCTCCCACGCATATTCTGCCACTGAAGCTTAATTATTTTCATTTCTTTCTTGAACCTACCAGATTTTCAGAAAATAAAATTTCCAAAACCGGGTGCTTTCATCTTGGAAAACTCCTCCCTTTTTGAAAACCTAATCTTCAGACGGTGCTGCAAAAAACCAAGGTGTTTCGGCTTCAGCGGCAAAAATTATGAAGAAAGAGTCTCATTAGACAACTGAGAGAAAAAAAAAAAAAAAAAAAATTCCCAATCCTTCCTGTCGCAAAACTTTCGGACTAGCTCCTATGATGGTGTGTGGGCGCAAAAGTGCATTTGAACGGGAAAAATCGCTGTTTTATGAAAAGAGGGGAACATTTTTAGCATACAATAAGTGTTATCCCACAAGTGGTTTCGACTGCTTAGCTCGAAAATGATCTTTGTTTTATTCTGTTATGCATTTAGGTACTCCAGCAAATTGAAGCTCTCATATAATAGCTTGCTTTTTGAAAAAAAAATTCGATTTTACTGGGGGATACTAACTATCCTGTTCAGATCCAGAAAAACGGATGTCATTGTTCTGAGAATCAGCGCTAAGATTCTTCCGATGAGCAACTCCTGATACTTTAACAAATAGACGTTTTGAATTGTGTGGTATTAGTGATAACAGTTCTGTGTTATAAACAGAACGACACAAACATTTGATTCGCTGGCTTGAAGCGGCATTGTTGGTTATAACTTTAAAAACTAGACAACGAAATATACTCACATTATAAATTCCATAGATGAAGGGATTATAGCAGCTGTTACTCATGGCGAGCCAATCACAGCAGAACCAAATAATATTGATGTAATGGTATCTGGAACAGAAACAATCGCATGCAATGAGAGATGGGCTTGCCGGCTAGATAAAGATGCTGGATTAGTACGTGGGTTTCCGAGGCAAATAAAAATATTCGTCCAAATAACAAGAGTTTTAAAAACATTCCTGGTGATGGAGGGCAAATAATATATTTTTCTGGATTTACTTTTCAAATGAGATTAAGATACTGAATTAGTACAAAAGGATTAAAACAAAGATTAAAACATGAGTAATCAAGGCCAAAACGTTAAAAACACTAGGATACACTTTAATCATGTTTTAATCTCTTCCACTTGTACCTGTATTTTCGAGATATGTCCTCGTGTGCCTTATCAATACTGAATATACTTTACGATGATTTTATAGATGTAAAAGAGTATGATTACCCACCATCAGGAGTGACCATTTAAACTATAATTAGGTAAATATTATAGTTCATATTTTGTCTCAATAACCCAAACATAGAATTTGCCTTCAGTGAGCCTTAATTGAACGTCAAAGAAAGGCGTAATGTCGATTAGTCGCCTTTTTGCCTACGCTCTTTTTTCCAGTTGAAAAAATAAATCCTGGAGAAGCAGTGAACTTGTCTCTCAGGGCTCTGAATGTCTCATGATTTAAGGAAAGTTTATTAGTCTAGGAAGTAAATTTGACATCAAGAACTGTCCTTTAAGTTCTCCTCTGACAACAGTCTCAGCTCACTTCATCCGGGCAAGTTTGCCAAATTATGCATCATTAAGAGAACATTCAATGGTCAGTCTCGAAGAAATGACTCTCTTGTGCGGATAGCTTTGATGCGAATTGGCAGCGATGGAAAACGCCGAGGGGAACGGGAAACAACGTCCTTATCCGAAGATCTACTTAGCCGGTCATTTATATGCTTAGCGACCCGGGATTAAGGGCTCCAGGGAAGGGAGGAACTTTTACTTTGGAGAGTGTTTATCAAACACTTGCTCTAATGGTGTCAATGCGTTGAGACTCGAGGAAAATTGACCAGCGAATCGATGTATCGAACTGCGATATATAATGCCGCAGATTTGTCAAACTATCGAAACAGGGACTCGCTCTATATCGTATGGAGCTGACATGGTGCCAAAAAACGCGACTTTCAGCGCCTCGCTCAGCATATTGCTCCGTGATTGAAGCCAAAGAGCAGCCTACTTCTTGTTCCCGCGTTACCCGTGCCGGGTGCTCCTCTAGCCAAATAATTGAGGGGGTCGGGGAAACATTTCCAAAATAATTGGACGCACCCACAATGTCATGGTGCTCGGGCTCAGGGTTGCCGGGAAAACAAGCAGGGAGCACGACCCAGGGGAAATCATGTGTTCGGTTGGGCTTGCATTCCAGGAGTTGGAGCAGATAAAATCATCCGTTTCACATCTTTATCGCAGGAGGTGCGGTGTATTTTCCAGGGAACGGCCCTCGCTTGATATTTGTCACTCTGAGGATTCAAGAAATAAATACGTTGTTTTAACTGGAGTCCCTTTATACTGAGAGTTAAGACAATGTGAATCGATTTCTGATTGGTTCCCGTATTTTAGGCCACACTGAAAAAAAAAGATTGCTAATTCACCGATTTAGGGTGGAGCAAAATTTGCTTCACTTCGTAAAGCTTTCTTATCCGTGCACGGTGTTGAATCAAGTGAACGAATAGCACGAATTGCTACACCGATTCACTACACCTGCGCGCCTTCATGCAGTTAATCTTGCATCGAGTGGCTTGGAAGTGTAACTGCATTTTTTGGTATTGTTACTTTGCGAACAGTAAAAATAGTTAGGCTGAAATAGCGGAATTTACGGAAGAATAACTAAAAAGGTAACAGACGTAGCTTTTCAGAGAGCAAAATCACCTACACACGTGTGTGTAAGTTAGCTGAAATTTGTGTAGCGATTTTACTTGCATGGTTTGCACGTTCGTTTTTTAGCTACAGCATGCCATGAAATACCCGCGTGCACGGCAATTTCAGCAATATTTTTTTTTTCAGTGCTCCACAGTGTCACAAACGGAAATTAATATTACATTTTCACCAATCGCAAAGATTATAGATTGGAATGGACTGAGGAATTACGGGTTCGGCAAGGTGGAATGAGAGAAGGAACGGAGAGAGGAATTTGAGAATGAGCCGATCGAAGATTACGAAAAACTATCAATTTGTGTAATCTTTAATCCCGTCTTTGATTCCACGAGGAGGGGGGGGGGTCCTAACTCTCTAGTTTTAACACGCTGTAACTTTTTGATCGCACTTTTTAATACGTTTTTCACTAAATGAAAAAATCATCCCCAGCTTGATTAGCCAATAACATGCCTCAATTTATTGAGTCAGACTGTTAACGATCCTTGGTTATATGTGTCGATGAATTACTATTCTGAAAATTTCGAGGATATATCACGCGTACTCCGAGGTTTTTTTTTAAATTTTCTCACACGTGTAATGACACCACTTACAAGTATGAAGAGGCTGTACACTTTTTAACGCCTGAAAAGCAAGGATGAAGCAGATGTAGAAAAAGTTCACCCCAAAGCTGTAATAAAGTAAAAAGGAGAGGTAGTTTACTATTTTCGGGCATACATGCTTGAAAACTAAACGAAAATTGACTAGTATTAGCTATATTATGACCGAATAAAAAAAACCAACGGACCACGAACTCTCAGGTTCATTAACGATATGTTTATCTAATAAATTGCCTAACTAGATGTGTCATTTCATTTCTGCCAATAACAGAACTGAGTAAAATCGCTGTCAAAATAAAACGAACCGTCGAAACCCCGTGTATCTTGCGCATCACTTATTCAGAAAACTTCCAGCGTTGTTAAAAATCACTAAAAACTTCATCATCATCTTGCCTAGCGAAACGTAATTTCCTCGAGAACCAGGCACCATTCCGAATGACTAAATACCCATCTTCTGCCAACAAGCAACGATTATAGTTATGGTTTAGCTCTAAGGGCGGCTCTCTTTAAAAATTCTTAATCCTCGAAGCTTACAGCTCGCAACTGCTTCCCCTATGTACACTTAGCGTGTTCGCCCTCGAATAATCGTGCCCGTCAATTTTTACGATCAATTTACGCTGAAATAGTCCAAAGCGCAGTGTAGAAGATTCTACAATCTCACTTGGTTGAAACGGACTGAAGGATTTTCTGTCTCTTTTAGCTTGTTTCCGGAACCTCAGAGATGGGAAAAATGTTTCCATTCCCCTTTTCCTTTCATGTCATTTCCATTATTTTCTTGAAAATCTCATCTGTTTAGTGAAATGAGGAATAGATGGAATGACGTCTGAATGTCTCATCGTAGGCAGATGAAACACGCCGATGCGTAAGAAATCATGTACTTATCGCCAATTTTGGCGTTTCAAGTCCTCACTACTTCTTTAAAAGAGAACACACCGACAATTTCTCTCAGCAGCCTCTATGAAATTTCTTCGCTCACATCGACAGTTTGGTATAAATATTTTAATGCATTTTCTTAATACATTAAAAAAAGAACAAAAAAAATTGGAATGTTTCAATGGAGATACAAGGTGTAGACTTAAGCCATTGATTTGTATTGTTCTCCAATGTAATCTCCTAACGTTACTTGTGTAAAGGTATAATAATATGAAAAATAATGGAAGTTTAAAGGCACTCGAAAATCCGAGATGAAACTTTTTCTCGATGGGTATTCCTTCAAATTTACTTCAATCGAAACTTCCATGAGGCTACTATAGACTTGTTCTTGGAATATCGTTCCTTTTCTCCTTGTAGTTTCCTTGTATCCCCATGTAAAAGATTACAATGACTCGTTAAGTTGATGGAGAACCCAATTTTTTTGGTCGTAAGCAAGATTGAAGGGGTTCGCCTTTCAAATGATTCAATTTTTGTTTAAGGAAAGTGCCACCGCTATTGAGTGCAAAAAAATATTGTGAGCCCATAATCTTAAATTCTGAATTGATTTCAACGCGAAGGTCTATATGTAACCTCTACCAATAAACGTCAAATAGCGATCTCGGCGCGTCTTAATCCCCTAGAAGCGCTATCCCATATTCTTGATTGACCACATTTTCGAGATTTTTCCCCTGGATCAAGGCATAAAAAATATGACGTAAAATCTCGAAAAGGATTGTGTTATCTCCAATTTTTATACGTATAAAAAATGAGGAAACAACATTGTGAGTACATAATTTTGATACAATGCCACTGGTTGGGTTTAAATGACCAAGGTTCAACAAGGGCAACAAAATATAATAGAATAATATGAGCAGGGGATTTTTCACCTAAACCTCGGCTGAACTTTGTCACTGATGGAGAAATTTCAAGGTTTCAGCCTTGTTCCTAGCTCGAATAATTAAATAGAAACGCTTCGGTGAACAGAGACACTTTAATCATGAGGTCTGTTATAAACTATTTTGTTGGAGGATGTGGTGTTGTTATGAAAAAGCCCCGCATTTTTCATTTAAAGTGGGAAGAAAAAGAGGGGAGATCTTATTAACAAATTCCTTTGAAGCCTTTCATAAAAACACGTCTTTGCCACAGAATAATCTTTGCCAGTAACGAAGTCTGCGTTTGCTGCAGCCTTTTCCTGAAAATAATTACATTTTTAGTCACTGAGATTCTCAGCATTGCGACTGAATTAGCTCGTTAGTTTCTGCAAATTAGGAGTTCTGAGGATTCCCTGGGTGGAAAATTAGATTTTGGTTAGGATTTTCACAATTGACACGAAAAAGAGGTAAATGCATTATGATGAGCTTGAAGTGCTTAACGAGATGAGTGACTTCAATGCAAAGAAGAGGATGAATTATTGAAATTCCTCAAAATCCAAGCGAATTCAAATCGTGATATTAAACTGTACTGGTTTATTAACTTTCGAGCGAGGTATTATTATGACTGATATCAGTTAGGATTTTTGATAAGTATACTTACGCATTGATGCCTGGAACTAAATCTTGGAGGACGTTATACGTTTGTAAAGGCAGCCAACACAGTGCAAAGAGAGCTACCACTATGACTAGCATTTTTATCACCTGAAATGAAATGAAACAAAATGAATCTAAGGATGAAAACAAATGAGCAGTTTTTAGAGACTTAAACAAGTCGAGATGACCGAATAAGATTTAAAAATAAAGAGATTCACATAATTGATTAACCAATTGTCACCTTCTGGCCGAAGTATCACAAGTGCCATGCTACGTTCAAATATTTCCGCCGCCATTTTATTTTTTTACAAAAAAATTGTTCAACGAAGTTGTCCAAACATTTCACTGAATTTTCTTTGTGCTGCCGATAAAATTCAGTGAAATTTTCAATCAGATTCAACCAAAAAGTTCTTTGTGAAAAACTAAAGTGGTGGCGGAAATTTTGAAACGTCGCATGGCGCTTGTGATACTCTGGTCGGAAGGTGAACAAAATTTAGAACCATAAGAAAGATTTCTAAATGTTTGATTGAATAATCTTGCTTTCTAGATCCAAAATTCTCTTAGTTGACACAATTTGATTTATGATTAACATCGATGTTTGTAGACACCGAAAGTTTGTTTCGCGCTTAAGGAAAGCTTTCAGTTCTTTCCCCGGTGGGTATCGCGTTTTTGCTTCACTTGGCACAGACGCAGCGATTTCGTGCCCGTGGACGGCAAGAGCAATGATGGATGGGGTGTCGCATCGATTAAGGAAAATCCTCGGAAGTGCATCGATCAACAGCGCTTGGCTGACGCTTGCATAAGCCAAACATATTACCAGTCCAAACGAAAAAGTAAGAATGTCGCTGTGATATCAGAACCGTGGCGTGGCCCCTGATTTTGACTTAGAGTGAGGACTGGCTTTTAACTTCAGCATGATCTCCGTTATTGCCGCATAGGAAACATTAAAAGTATCGATAGAGGAAGCACTTGATGGAATTAGAATATACGAGCAGGAGAAGTAAAAAGAAAGTAAACATAGTAAAAAAAATTAAAAAAAGGAAAAAAGGGGAAAATTGGAAAAAAATTTAAAAAAGTGAAATAAAATAAAAAAGTATAAAAATTAAAAAAGTAAAAAAAGGAGAGAAAGTAAAAATAGGAAAAAAGTAAAGAAAGTAAAAAAGTAAAAAGTGAAAAACAGTGAACAAAATAAAACAAAGTTCAAAAAAAAGTAAAGAAATAACCATTGAGAACTCCCAATATAGTTCCGGCACAAGATTGGATTGTTTGTAGACTTCGAAAAAAGCGAGATTTACGAATATTAAAGACCGTAACAAGTGTAACACAGGCAAATTCAAATTTACAATGTAATAATGTTTGGCTTGGCTTCGGAAACAATAAACCTTCATCCGCAATTGCCTCGAGAGCCGGGATGGAACATTTTGAACAGCTCAATTTCAAAGGTATTCCATGAGTGCTCGAAAATGCATTCTCCAATAAAACTATTCGCAAATGGATAATGAAGCCCTACTGCTCGCAAGCATTTTAAAAATTTGCATATTTGGAGCAATCAATATCAGTGGCGTGGCGTGAATAATCGATTATCGATAGCTCGCCATTTGAAACTATGGTAAAGAATCGATTACTAAGGTGTTCGCTGCGAACACCCTGATAATCGATCTTTTTTCATAGGTTTGAGTGGCGTATCAATCGATACATCGCAAAGCACGCCACGCCACTGATCAATATATGCTAATTTTCAAGTATCAACCATTTCAAATATTTATCAGCAAGCGTTTCCGTAAATGCGAAAGAAGACGGGTTCATATTCACGAGTCTCATTGTCAGTAAAAGGATTGACCGTCATTGAGAGGTTACAGCGAAAATCTGGTCAGATCCCTACATGAAGAGCAGGCGAGTTTCAAAAGAGGCGAAAAATAATGAAAATCTCATTCTAGACTCACAGTGTGCTTAGAAGAAATCATTATTCCTCCATGTAAGTAATAACAGCTAGGTCATGCGATTATATCATAAACAAACAATAGCTGTAGATTATGTTATAAACTTCTCAAACAGTTAGTTTCTCTTAATGTTTCGGAATAGCTGAGGGCACGTATTTCTGTTTCTACATGGACGAAAGCTAAATGGACTACATTTTGCAATTTGGAACTATGAATTCTAGCCCGGTTCAAAAACAACGTATATGCTATTAGTTTCCCTATGCACGTAAGTGCTTTTCCAGAAGAGCCAGCATTTATCGTTCCGAATTGTAAAATGCAGTTCAAATATGCCTATCGATGGCGAAACACCCAAACCACGTGTCTCGTAAGCGGTTTTTAAAAATCTCCGCTCCAATTTTATTTCTTGAAGGAGACAAATCATTTGTTGAAATTTTTTTAGAATTTATTCCGCATAGGGAGAAAAATTCACGGGAGTTGTCAAGAATTTCAATGATTTTCTTTGCCCCAAACTCGTTCATTGTCCGTAACATATATGAATTTAATTTATCCATTCACCATTCCCTAAATTGCCTCACCTCGAATGTGTTGAGAATTTGTGAAAGACCTATACAAAACGTTCCATTCTCGTCTGATTTTAGAGCCGTATAGGTTCGTATAAATTTTCAAACTTTTCATTAAGCCCTTTCCAATCTGATCCATTTTATCACGGCTGAAAACAATCGATGGATCGATGGCTTGAAACGTAATCACTAAATCAGTCTTTAGTTTATTGTTCACTAATGGAGGCAAACTTCAATAATGACTGGGGTGAGACTTCCACGCTATTCAGTTCCAGAATGGGGTATTCTGCGTCGAAACGATCGGCGTATCTTTTGTTTGGTGTTTGTTTTAGAATCATTTGATAGCGTGCCAGCAACCTCAAAGGGAGAAAATATTTAGTCACACGCCAAGCTGTGCGCACTTCTCTTCAGACGAGAAATTGTTTAAATTACACCTCCTACCCACCCTTTGCCCCCTAAGACCTAGGAAAGTTCGATCGCATGGGGGACATAGACTTTTTCGTTCAAATTAATATACAACCTTGAACAACAATCCACGACGTTGTTTTCTTACGATGCGATGACTGATTTTAAAATGAGCAAACTGCACTGCGTTTGGCGCAACGCGTGAAGTATTCCTTCAGTCTTGCAGGCGCTAATATGAGTTTAACGCTGGCTGTACTGTGTTTAGCGCGATTATTCGAACTCACGTTAGAATTATTGCGGCAACCGATTTGTTTTGAGGGGGCTTTTTAAAAACTGAAAATCTTTTTACTCATACTACCTCAGTTGCGTCTTCCGTGGGTTCCTAAGTCTACGATCTTCGGAGTAATTTAAAACGAATCGCAGCGTTATATCTGATTGAAAGACAAAGTGCCACTTGTCACTCTTACCATGGATGGGGATATGCACGGTATCCGTGCAAACAAATAAATAACCATAATAATAATTTCTAATCCCCTTCAGGAAATCTATACATCACCACTAACATGCATGTCGATGAAAGTCAAAGAATAAAGTAGTTCACTATGTTGCTTTTATTATACATTCCTAAGGTACGGCAATTAAAGCGCGCAAATCCACCGTGCAAATCAGCAACCGAAACCGGTGCAACGTACCGACATATATACTGCCGTGCTAAGGAAAAACGCCGTATGAGCCCTCAGACGTTGCCAAATTTCCTCCAGTAAAAACCGAATTTACTGAGAAATTGGCGATTATTTGTTTCCAAAATTTTCACACAATTTTGTACGCAATTTAATCTAAAATATCTGAAAGTTTAAGAGAAAAAATATGCATAACTTTCCTAAAGAATGAAGGTTTGATTCGGGAAAATTTGGCAACTCTCGAATGTTCATACGGCGTCCTTCTCTGGCACGGCAGTATAGGAACCCGATCAAATTGCAAATTTTTCAGCCGCCATCGGTCGCAAATCTGCACGCCTTGAGTGCCATACCTTAAAAGGCATTTAACTAGAGGTCACAGGTCTATGAAGGGTTTTTGTCATAACGTATTAGGCTGAAAGTACCAAATACGTAGTGAAAAATAATATAAAATCATAAGAATAACGCATAACGCCTGCGCGAAGCGATCAGAAGAGGATTTAGCTACTAAGTAATGAAAAACGTGAATAACTCACGGTGAAAATCGCTGGTGGTGATGCAGCCTACGATCTATGTTTAAAATATTTACTATTTTCACGCCTAGCTTTTAATAAACTGTACATTGCAATTCTTGACGCAGAGTTGTCGTAGGCGAAATTTGCTGTTCCACTAACGACTCCTATGCAATATGCAACTCGATTGACAGTAACGCGTCCTATAATTGCGAAGGGGACACCATAAACAAGGAAGTGAAAGGTTATTTACGAATTTCATACCGGAAACCGATCTTATTTGCATGCAAATTAAAATCAGTTTCCAACAACACGGCGCCACCTTTGTTAGTGGAGCAGAAAATCTGACCCCTATTATTTGTTTCAGCCTCAACACCACAGGATGTGTTTTTATTCGATTGCCCCGTCGGTGTTTACGGGTATATACGTAGTTGGCGTTTTGGTGTCGAAAAATTGAATTTGTGTTTTAACTTGAGTCTCAGGCAGCGAAAAATAGGGCTTTTGTGTGTAATTGTCTCAATAATCTCAATTTCTCCTCCTTTGAAATTGAGGTCTCATACTTGTTTCCATAATGTGTGCATCAATGAAACGCACACCTTTAATATATTGAATATGAAAGAAGGGAAAGAGAGGGGGAGAAAGGTAGAGTGAAACTCAGACTGATTCAAAATACTGATTTCATTCATATTTTTCCATCAAAATTCGTTGCCTCTGAAGTGTAAATGTCTTTTTCTTCACGAAGGAAGGTAACCACATTTAAACACTGCAAAATTTACCCTCGTAAATTTTATTGTTAAGAATTTTTAATTGAGGATATCTGTGATTTTTTTTTCTGATTTCATGCAAAAATTAAAAAAAACAAAATTAGACGAAAATTGATGGGTCATATTTTTGCCAAAAGTTAAATTATCTGAGTCAATTTTGGAACCATGGAATGGAGTTACATTCCTTTGTCCGGGATACGGCAAATTCAGTGAAAAATCCAAAGAATAGAAGAAAAATCGGGTGAAGTGG